CCTGTGTGCATACAAAAACGCATAGCCTGTTTTGCACAGCTCAATTAGCCCCTTGGGCCCGGCACGCGCCAGCGTTAGGGTGTGATGAACGTTTGTACGTACATCAGTGCGAACAAGGTTGAAGGGGAATATGTTCACGCACACGGAAATGTACATGCATGTGTGATTGTGCATTCAGGGCATCTTCATATTTGTAATTTTTCCCCTTGTTTCTTTCTCTCCCTTTCTCTTTCTCTTTTTTTTTTTTTTTTTTTTTTTTGGTGTAATTTTCCATTTAATGTGCTTTGAACAGTAATCAAACAGTTGACTCGTGAATGTCATGCATGGTTACACTTTCTCAGACTCGAGGAGAATGTGACAAGGACAACTCTTGTGTTTCCATTTTATCACACGCGTGCGCGAATTGGCATCTCCTCTCTATTCATGTTCGCATCCATTTTGCCACTAAGTTGAAACTTTTTTTGGCATTTTTTTTTTTTTATGATCTGTCCCCCCTTCTGTGTTTTCCTCTCCTCCGCTAAACTCCGCATCTGTTCCAATTAGCTGACCTGTTGAGCAGCCGAGCGGCATAGCAACTGCGCTGAGTAGCAGCCTCCCTGTGGCGCAAGAGGGGGCGCGAAGAGACAGAAGGAAGAGCGAGCAGCGACATGTGTCCCACAGCTCTTTCTCGCATGACGAGTTTATTGTACTCCCACTGAAGAGGAGAAAGAGAAAGGCATCTCCTTGTGTTTCGTTCGTCGCGTTCTTCTTTGGTCGCTGTGCAAGACGCAATTGCATGCTTCTTTGTAATATCGACTTGGTGTGGCTCCGCGCCTTCCTGTCCACCCCCTGCTTCATTTCCCACTTACCACGAAGGAGAACAACAGCATGTCTACCATCAGATGGGTGGACCTTCTGTCCAGCGAGTCGAGTAAAAAAAAACACACACACAAAAAAAAAAAAACGGCGCGCCTAGCGTGTGTCACTCTGTCCAGGGTTAATAATTCCACCCATTTATATATCCCCTCCCCCCGCCTACTCGCAGACCTGTCCCATTCCATCGCGAACGAGGATGTTGTGGAGAAGGCTAAGAAAAAAAAATTCCCCTACAACCAGGAGAAGGATCTGAACAGTAGCTTTTTAAATTCATACAATGCAGACCTCGACAACAGCAATGTGGGAATTAATTTGAAAATAAAAAATATGTCCCTAGTGGATAAAAAGGATAAGGAAGAGAAGAATGTTCTGGGTGCAGATAAGACACTTGATCAAATACCCAATTGGCGAAGTGGTAACGGAAGTGGAACAAGTCTCCCCAGCGAAGCAGCAAAGGGAGTGATAACGAGGACAGGAGAGCAAGAGTCGGGGGGGAAAAGCACGGAAGGAGTGACCCAAAAGGATTCACAAAACGTGCTTAGTAATGGAGACCAACAAACAGGTGTGTTAGGAAATGTGTTAGTGGAGGAGAAAAATTGTGTGAGTGAGAAAGTGGTGAGTCCGTCTCATGGGCAGCTAAACGAGGAAGGGAAGTCAACAATCGCAAAGGTGGATTCCGCCAACGCAGCAAGTAACAGTAATACCGTCCTGGAGGAGGCAAATAAAACGGAGCAGAACTGTCCTCATGAGGAGAATAAGCCAAAGGAAGAAAACGGAAAAAAAAAAGAATTGCTCAACAGAGTCAGCGTGCAGAGTTCTGGAAGTGGTCAATCTTCGGTCGAAGGTAAAAATAAGGAAAGTGAAAAAGGTTCAAGTGTGGGGAAGAAGAAAAAAAACGCATCAAGCATATCTACCCTAAACAAAAGGAATAGAAGCAACAAAATAAAAAATGTCTCTGTGAATAAAGAGTCGATACAGAATTCTTATTTTTCCCGTTATGTGGTGAAGAAAGGGGGGGACAGTGTAAAAGCGATGGACGGGGGGGACAACGTAAAAGCCGTGGAAGGGGCGGAGGAGAGTGTGCAAGGGGAAATGTCCAAGGGGACGACCCATAAGGGGAAGAAGAGGAAAGACAGAACCCTTCTGTGCGAGAATAGCACAGCTTCTAAGTTCAACTGTACCCTGTCGCACGACGTGACGGTGGACGACAACAACGTACCTCTGAACCCGGCCAAAAAGGTGAAGAGCAGGGTCAAGGGAGGCGCTGCAAAGGGGGGCGTAATGGAGGCGGTAAAAGAAGGCGCAAATGTAGTGCCCGCTCCACCCGCGACAACCCATCGAGACAGCGAAACCAAACTGGTGGCCAAGGAAGACAAAAAAAGTTTAGGCATAATGGAAAATATGGTGACCCCCCCAAAAAGCAATTTACCAACTTTAAATGAATATAAGAATCTGAGCAGCGACAACATCAACATGGAGAAATTTAAGAACTTCGACACGAACTTTATTAACTACCTTGGAGATATACAGAGCCACTTCAGTGACCCGTTCGTAAACTCCAATAGCAACCGGGTGAACAGCAGACTTAAAGAAATTGCTGTAGGGAAATCGACGAAGGAGTACAAGAATTATGTTAAGGTGGTGAAGTATGAAGAGAGGATGGATGACGATCCCAGCACGCCTAATGCGTATGAGAATGTGACAAATGCAAAATTTCAGGCCAAGTATAATTTGTGGAGGAAGAAGCTGCACAAGTTTGACTCCATTGGGTAGAGGTTTTACCCCCTTTTTACACATACAAGCTCAATGATGGGTCAAATATGTTCTTGAAGCAATGCACGCACGTGGTTAAATCTCACCGATGTGAGCCGCTCCGTGGGGACCAACTTAGGGTTTTGCGCTTGACGTGTGTTTTGTTAGCTCCCTTCATGGGTGTAGTTACCCTTTTTTTTTTTTTCCTTTTTTTTGCGTATAGAGAATCGAAATGATAAACCCGTTACGTGAGACAAGTGTCCCAAAATCGTGTTCAACTTTTAAATCACAGACAAGTTAGAAAAGAAAAAGACGTGTCGACCCTCGGTGTGCAGGACGCAACGCGGTGAGGGGAAGGAAAAAAAAAAAAAAAAAAAAAAAATTCACACACGTGTGACAAAACATACCAAAAAGGGGGGGTTTTATGATTTACTTGGCGCGGGTATAATTTCCACGCCGGTTGGCCTGAACATCGTGTGGACACGGGCAGGTGCTCCGCGTACAACCGTGCAATGGTGCAATGGTGCAACAATAATATATGAGCGGAGGTGGCGCCCCCCAACTCGTTACACGCAACTCTCATTCGTGTAAACAGTTCTCCCCCCTCAGGAAAAGTATATCGGGGGGTACTTCTTCACCAAGTGGTTAGCAGTGCTCTCGGCAGCAGATGGACCGAAGCACTTAAAGTCGAAGGTCTCATTCTCGTCTATCTCCATTATACTAGCTATATTCCCACAGCGGTAACAGTAGTTTGGTGCCGACCATACGGTGACCAATTTTTTATCAAACCACCATTTGTATCCCTCCATGACGAGTTGGTGAGCCCTGGCAATCAGTTCAATATTGTTCAGGTGACAAAATTTATGAACAACATCTGGGCCAAATAAATGACCTGCACCTCTTGGGCTTTTATCCCATCCATTTTTATCATTTGGGTCTGACCACATAATATCACATAGGGAGCCATTCCTCGGGATTTCCTGAAATCGGTTAATTTTGTTCAGGTCTTCAATTTGATTGAACGAAGGAGATAATCCTCCATGTATACAAAAGTAGTTGTTTTCAATGATTGCACCGATAGAGAGATAATCCATCAAGTCGGTGCAATATTTCCATACATTTATCGACCCATATTTTTTAATGCACTCATCATAAAATCCATACACTTCTGTAATTTGTCTACTCTCATGATTTCCCCTCAGTAGGGTAATTTCATTTGGGTATTTTATCTTCAGGGCTAGGAGTAAGAGGAAGGTCTCGATGCTATACTTACCTCGGTCCACATAATCACCAAGGAATATATAATTCACTTCTGGTGGTTCATTGCCGATGTGAAAGAGCTCCGTTAGATCATGGAACTGTCCATGTATGTCCCCACAAACCACCACTGGTAGATTCACATGCTTTATATTCTCTTGGTTGATTAGAATTAGTTTAGCTTGGCCACACAAATGCTTCACTTCCGCTTCTGATAATAGTTCGCACTTTTTCAACGTCTCGATTTGTTTTTCTAAGCACCTTGTTTTCATCATTCCCCGGTCGCCAGGCGGGGGGTGTGTATATGTTCTACACTCGAGGCGACGTTGCACTGGTCACACAGAAGTGGAATAGGAACAAGTACCCCTCCCCCTTTCAAATGCACACGCAGATGGGAAGAGACTAATGTGATAGTGTTGGGGTAAGATGAAACCAAACGCAGTTACATAATGTGCGACACAAACGTATGCCTACAAGAAGCGCAACAGGAATAACAACAAAAAAAAAAAAAAAAAAAAGGACTAATTCGAGCTGATCTGCAGTGAAGCCTCCCCAACCCATTCGCTTCGCCGTATATAACACGCAACAGTTGAGTGTTCCCCTTTTCGATCTGGTGAGCCGGAAAAAAAAAAAAAAAAAAAACAAAGGGAATAAATACAGCACAGGCCAAATGCCCCTCGATTAGCATAATGGTATTGCTGTAGTTGACCATATGGGGGGGGGATGTGTGGGTCGTGGTTTATTTGTCCCCCGATCTGTTTCTTTTTTTCTTCTTCTCACACTCTCTCCTGTGCTATTTTAGCTTTTTTCCCACACCATTTGGAGATGCTTCTTCAAAATTGTAAGAAAAAAGCAAACACCTTTAGCTCACAAGGCGTGGCTTTGCGCGAACGCTTTTTTCTTCACCCATTTTTTGGTGTTCTTCCTGTCGCCTCTGCAAGTGGCAAAAAGGAAAGCGGTACTTAAATACTACGGCACGCTCAATTCGTATGAGAGGACATTATCGTGAAGCATATGCACTCGCAAAACCTCATGTGTACCTTTTGGTGCCTCTCATTAAATGAGTGCTCTTTCTAAGGTTCCGCATTTGACGGTACATACACCTCACCAATCCGTTCGTTACATCAGCGGGGCGGACTATTTTTTTTGCATTCGCCGTGTCGCCTTCCACTCGCCATTTTTCTCATACCCCGCCATTTGTGACAAAAAAAAATAAAATAAAAAAAGAGATGCGGAAATATATCTTACCTGGCTGCCCATTTCTGTCGTTATTAGCACACTCCTTTTTTTTTGTGTGTGTTTTTTTTTTTTTTTTTTTGTGCGAATGCTTTGGAAATGCAAAGATTGAAATGCGGAACAGCTTAGAGTGACTCTCCTTTCAGAGCTGATAACCCCGAGGGAAAGCGCCACGACGCTTGGGCAATGGCTTAAAGTTGATTACCGCTCAAATTGTGCGCGCGTTGAGGCAGCATGAGCAAATGTACGGCAAATGCCCCCTCGATAGCATCGCAACTGTGTATGGTGTACATCCGTGTGTAAGGCTTACCCCCCACGGAAGCAGCCCAGCTGATTAGAGGCACGATCGCGTAAAAAAAAAAAAAATTGTTCACCAGTCGTCCCCGTCCATTACATATTACCCAAGACGTCATGCACCACGCTAGCCCAACGCTTGAGTAGTAGCGAGAGCGCCGGATTGTCCTAACCCCATCTTCCCCCCCCCAACAACAATACACACAAAACACCAGTTGAGCGAAAATGCATTTGGCTAAGCCAGCTAGAGTGTTCGTAAGGAGAGACATGGGCCATTTCCAGAAGAAGTTCCTCTTTAACGCAAGCACCATGTCTAAGTGTAAACAAATTCAGAAGAATCCATTTCCATGTTTTGCAAATAAAGTACAAAAAAGAAATTACCTCCATTTTGCTCGTACATTACCTGAAGATTACGAGCTGCCATTAGACACCTTCCCAGAGAATATAAACGAAGTGTTAAAGAAGGATAAGAAAACACTTGACTTCATTCAGAGCTACTGGTACTGGAAGATTCGAAGTGAGAGCAATTTGCTAAACTATGAAAAGTTGGTGAAGAAGTCGTATAAGCAGTTGGCCGTGGACATGGGCATGCAGGTCAGTGTGCTCGCTCGTCAAAGAGAGAATGGGGATGAATCCGTACATGGTGTGCAGGGACACACGCCTGTGCGTGATGCCTCACCCTCGTGCATCCCTTCTCATTCATCACTTCTCATGCCGGAAACAAACGGGCGCTAACATGCACGCACTAACAAGCGCGCGCTAACAAACGAACCCTAACAAACGCCTTCCCCCGTTCCCCACTTCGTAGATTGCCAACCCCGACAATGAGCACATGCTGGCCCTCCTGGAATTTTACGAATACCTCAAGTCGTCGCCATTCGTGGGACCCTTCGGCACCATTGAAAACCCCGTCATTGTTCCCAGTGTGCACACGGAGCGAGTCGTCTGCTGCACAGGGGGTACAGGGGAAAACGAGCACGTCCCCCTTTTCTTTCGATGCAGGGAAGGATTCTTATATCGCTGCGGAGAGTGTGATCAAATATTTATGCACGTACGTGTGTTGTACTCACTGGAGGATGGAAACGACCCCTTTCCCAATGACCCCGATGTGGATGACGTATTTGATTTAAATTTAATTGAAGAAAACATGAGTCTATACAACGACGACCAATACGTCCGGTGGCCCACGGGGAATGTGACCTACCGGCAGATGTTTCTGCAGGGCAAGTGGGGAAATCAAAAACCGAACAACGTTTCGTACATAGGTTCTGAGAAGTGAGACGAGGATCTCGCTGCTCATTTTTTTTATAGGCGGTAATCGTGTTTTACGCCGCATCGTGGGCTGAGGTGGGTGTGTCCACGTGTGTGTGATATATATTTTTTTTTTTTTCCAATTTTTTGTTCCATTTCACCTGAACAAGCAATACATTATGAGCGACTTTTTGGTGAAAAAAAAAAAAAAAAATGCCACAACATTTTGGCTACCTGGGAAGTAGCTGCCTTATACACCCCATTTCGACATTCGCAAAATATTTTCCCTAATCGTACTACGGTGAATGCTAAATGGTATCTTAATTTCTCCATTTTGTGTTTTAACAATGTGTGGAGTTTGTTAGGATAAAGTTTAACTGCGGACTGAGCACAAAAATTAAAATTGTGAGTATGTGTAAAGTAGGGAACACATGGTGGGCATAAAAAAAAAAAAAAAAAATGGGGGGTGTAATTCAGAGGGGAGATGAAAATTAGAAATCACGCAACTGGAAACACGATTCGCTGCGTGGGTAAGTGGATACACTGTTTTGCTGTTGCAAGAAGGAACTGTGGCATTTCTCAAATTTGGGGGAATCCGCACGAAGCACCATGCGGCATGGCCGCACATCCCATGGTGACACAATCGTATGCATCCATTTACGCGTGTAGTACCTTCACACCTTTATTCACGTGATAACCGGTCACTACTGCAAACTCATTACAACTTCAATCGGTAGGTGTGTCATTAGGAAGGAATGAGCCATACAGGAGGTTAAAAAAGAAAAAAGAAAAGAAAAGAGACAGATAAACTGCAAATGAAAATAGTTAATTCAATTCAACTTAATTCAATTTAATTACAAATGAAAAATGACCTAGGTGGAGGTTACAACAGGGGTCCCACCCTCTCAGCCAAAATACTCACATATGTATCGTCTCACATGTGTATCATCTGACATATAAAAAAAAAAACAAGAATGAGCCACCTCACGCACACATGCTACACACCGTTGTGCCTATTTGGGTTAACACACATGCTTACATGTGGATGGGTGTGTTTGCAATTAATTTGCGGGCGGGGGGATGCGCGCTGGCAGAGAGAAACCCACCGCGGTCTTGTATTTGAAAAATGTGGGAGCCAAGAGATGGGCAACAACGCAGGTGGCAAGCGGTTGAGATGTGTGGGGGCATCACATATAGGGGGCGCGCACATTGTTGACAGTCAATCGTTCGTAATGCCTTTTTCTTTACCTGTACTTTGCCGCTACATGGCCGCTATGTGGACGCAGTCAGCTCCTAATTTTGATGAACCTGTTTTTCTCCTGGACGGGCTCGCCGACCCCGCCAAGCCTCTGTCCCACGGAGACGGTCTGATTAGGGTTGACATTCCAAGCGAAGTCCTTTTTATTTTCAAATATAACAACAATGGATGAGCCCATTTTGAACTCCCCAATTTCTTCTCCCACCTCGAGACTTTTATAAGAGTCGAAAATTCTGGTGTTGATATCTCCGCCCATGTAGCTTAACTGATGCCTCAAATTATTTGTGACCAGTTCTTCATCATTAATGATTTTAATATTGCCTACATTGTAAGCACTAATGGCAGCATAATACACATTGCCTCCTTTCCATTCACCAGACAGAATAACCCGTTCATTAATGTTAAAGAGGTTGTTAATAATTTTAAACATACCCTGAAAAACAGGAAATAATTCCCCCGATATATGTCTCCTAATTTTGTATTTGAAATTAAAAGGGGCATGAAAATGGTGATATTTTTTTGGGCTTAAATAAAAAATAGCATAAAAAAATTTGGTACTTCCATCATTATATTTCTTTTGGAAATTGGATCCTAAAAAAGTATTCACATTAAATTTTACTCCTTTTATATTTTCCAGATAATCTGAAGTCAATTCTCCATAATCTATTAACTCACTGTCGCATGGACTCACCATGGAGTAATCACTAAGGTCGCCAATGGGTCTGGTTTCTTCCCTGATGTAACGAGAGAAGAAATCGCCAATGGACTTGTAGGACTCTATTGGGTATTTTATTTCTTCCTTATTTATTTGCATGTATTTAATTAAAAAATTGAAAATGAACAATCTATATGAGTTTGGAATTTCAATTTTTAATAATTCCCCTGTGATGCGACTCCTTGTGCGTCCGAAGAGAAGGCGGGTCCAGAAGAGCTTGGTGCTTTGTGCGACATTTTCACTGTTGTCATGTAGGGTTAGCACTTCGTGGTACTTGTATTGAAACATGAACAGGAAGGACAGGATGGTCACGCCCGTTATTACGTACTTGTTCTTGTACAGGAGGTGGAAGTTGTTGTTTCGCTCATTCTTCTTCATCGTTTCATCGGGGAGCAAAAAAAAAGCACAGAGCTGTGGAGCGCGCGAAGTTGTAACAGGAACTCTTTTTTCTCTTTTCTTCTTTTGTGACGTTCGTGTCCCTCCTTTAACACGCCTTCGTACAAATTGTACTGAGCGCGTAAACGTACGCGTAAAACGTACGCGCAGTGGTGTGTAGAGTGTACGAAGGGGAACTGGACTTGCCCGCGCGTTTCCTCGCGATGGCGATTTTTTTTTCCCCCCCTTTCCTGTTGGGCGCAAAACAGGGGGAAAAAAAAAAAAAAAATATTCGTCCTTTACTTTTTTTGCAAAACGTGTCCGCACTTGTTAAATTCGCATAATTTCTGCGCGTAACACTTTTTTTGTTGTTTTTTTTTTTTCTCTATTTCTTCCTATCATGCGCTGGAGGTGGGGGGAAATTATAAAAAGTACGAATGAATGTATGCGCTGAGGTACACACTTGTGCACGGGGAAAAAATAACGAATGCAACTCTCGTGTCCGTTGTGGAAATTGGTGTCCGCCTTGCACAAGCGCACAACAGTTGTTCAATCGATGGGGGATGACAATTCTTCGCACGTGTACAGGTACGCGATTTACCAACATTAGTTGCGCTAAAAATGGCGGTGCTATATTATATGTATATATATATATATATATATATAGAGTGCAACCCGGTCCGCAGTTTCTCCCTCGGGGGTGCACACTCTGTGGTGATGTGGCCCAAACAAAATTTCACCGGTACTCCACATGGGGGATGGGTGGACAACAAAAACAGACACTACACGTGCATACGGTTAATTGCACTACTCTCTAATTTTACCGTTGCTCTTTCTTCTTTGAGTGAAAAAAAAAAAAAAAAAAAAAAAAAAAAAGGGACAATGGTAAAAACATCTTTCAATTGGATAATTCTTCTCTCCCCTATGATGAAGATAGAGAGACACACGGGGGGCGCGTATACGTGGCGGTCATCACACAGTCTCCGACAGACACCGCCCCCAAAGAAAGAGTTAATAAACAGGCCAATTAAAAAAAAAAAAAAAAAGGTAGCAACATGTAAGTATACATAATAAAATAAGAAGCCAGAGTTACCACATTGGGAAATCATAAAAAAAAGGGTTCACGTCATGATGGAAAAACGCTGTTTCGTTCATGTATGTGCAGGTAAATGTGCATTCAAAAGTTTTCTCTTTGGGGAGAAGGGAAAAAAAGAAAAAAAAGAAAAAAAAAACGAATCTACAAGCAACATTTTAACATGCAGGAAAAGTTGCTCTAAGAATCTCTGCACACCTATGCAATACACGTTAGAGGATGGTCCTCCGCAAGGTACCCTCACCTTCCATGTATACGATTTAAATTGTGAGGAACTTTGTGGAGGAAGAGAAATGTATGCTTGTGTTGAAGAGGTTTAAGAGAAAGCCGCACCAGTCGCCTGGTCGGGCACATTGCTTTTTTCCTCTTCAACTGAAGCTAACCACGCGCGGGCTGTGTGCAAGCGCTGCTTCCCGTCTTAAACGAAATGGCGAGAAATCCTAGCGTCGTGTATTGTGTCACTGATATTTGCCGCCTGTTATGTGGGTTAGGAGGGCAAGCAGAGCATACACGTGTTCCTCTCGTGTGCACAGTTGTACGTGCGTGAACGTATTTTCATCCCTGTGCCATACTGGCGCGGAGGAGCTGCTAAAAAGAAGAGATCAAATTACACAGACGAAATATAAAGAAGGCAGTGCGGGCAGGCGAAAAAAATAGCGCCACGTTCCGCGCGGGTAATAAAAAAAAAAAAGGACCATCCGACACTCATCAACCGGCTGCTCCTTCCCCCACCGCGTGAGGAACACATTTGAGGAAATATTTTGTGCAAGAGGCGCATCCGATAGGTCGGCATACCTGCGCAGGAAAAAAAAAAAAAAAAAAAAAAATTCCCCAAAGGTGTACACGTAAAAGGAAGGAAAGCACGAAAAAAAAAAACAAAAAAAAAGTATATCTCTCCTGCCTAATCGGCTATCGACAAAGGTTACCCCACTTTGACCCAAACAGAACTGCTATACTTATGTTCATCCCCAGGTGGTGTAACGGGCATGCCATTAAGCGAATGTTTTCCTGCCCCTTAAAATGAAGCTCTGCCCATACATGTAAAAAAAAAAGAAGAAAAAAAAAAAGTGAACACTCAACGTGTAGCGGTTAACGGAGAGCGAGTCATTATAACGTACACAGTTGACACAATGACGGCCCCTCATTACCTAAACCCCAATCTGATGAAGAACTACGATGAGTTGACCTCGCACAACCCCCACTCCAGCGTAATTTTTTTTCACTGAAGGCATGCACGTAGCGTCGCGTCCATGTGTACATCCGCATACACATGGCAACAAACGTGGAGTGACTCCTGACGCGTGTGTGTGCCTGATGGAATTGTGGCGCTCGTATGTGTTATATATATATGTGTGCGTATGTTCAGCTCACCCCTTGGTTAAATACATACGATATATGTGTGTGCTTGTCTCTCTTTCCTACTCTCCTTCTGACTTAAAACAGGACCCTCGATTTTTGCAGTTGAATCAATTTAACCACTGCGCCTACAGGTACACCATGTTCTGTCGGTGTGCACGCGAACTGGGGGAGGACAACCCCCGCTGCAAGTAAGTCTCTCTCCCTCCTGGACGTGTGACCCCCGCCCCCAACAGAGTTGCAATTACACGCATGTCCATGGGCCAATTCTTTAAACATTACCTTTCATCAATTGCGCTCGACATGAGAGCGGGTTGTAGCGTTGCACAATTAATAAGCGTTTCCCCCTGTTGCTAATTCGTGTCCGTTTGTTTTCTTTTTTTTTTCGGCCCTCTTTTCAGATTTCAGTATTACAGAGCCCAAATTGCCTGCACAGCGGAGCAACTGGAGGATTGGAATGACCATAGAGAGAAAGGTAGGATTGTCTCATTTTTGAACAAAGGGACCACTAGGGGATGCGAAGCGTGTTGCATCCATTTCGTTTTGTTCTGTTCTTTTTTTTTCTTTTTTTTTATAAGTGGGGGTTACACCGCAGGCACACTCCAAGCATGTGTGTCTTCAACCCCGTGTTGTGTATACATACGCATGGGTGTGCAAAAATGGGCATTCATTGGCGCATCTACGTTAGCAACCTGCTTATGTTAACAACTCCTGATGCGTGTGTATGTTTTTTTTTCCCCACCCCTTGCAGGAACGTGCGTGATGGATGTGATGCCCGACCGTCTTACGGCTCACCTGAGGCAGTGATGCGCTGCTGCTGCCTTTGCACAATGAATGAAGAAGCTATTTTAATTGTTGACAAGGAGGATGTTTTTTTTTTTTTTTTTTTTTTTTTTCCTTTTTTTTCCTGTTTATTGTTCTATGCAGAGTGGCGGAATGGCGGAGCATGCGGCCTATTGTTACTCGTTAGAGGCTTTTTTGGATGGCTCCCCCAAGTGGCCATTTTATGATACTCCCCGCCGCCTCGCCCTCCCCTATTTTTTGGTACAAAAAAAAAAAAAAAAAAAA